CATACATATTTCCATTCTGATCTATCACTTTAATTTCTACCTCACAAATTACTGTTAGTACCACTATAGCTTTTTGTCCTAACCAATACCCATTTTGGTTCAACTTCTCTAACGCCGCTTCAAAACTTCCTTCCAATTCAATGTATTCTGCTTGGTACACTTCAAAACGTACCCTGTTTATCCTAATATTCGTTATAGTATTCGTTGTTCACTCTTCCAAGCTGGTCCAACATAGCTCTTAACAGGCAATTCCCATCTCCATCTATCTTTTTAATATTAAGAACTTACTTTGATGATTGTAAGCTAAAATTGTAATACTCTTTTTTTGTTTCAGTCAACTATCTGTCTTCCGCTAATTTAAATGCTTGATTATTAGAATTATGCTTGAAATTAGGTCTTGTAATTACCGCACAAAATTCCATCTCACTATCTTTCTCCACTACTTCCAAAATATAGGGCTCTGACTTCCTCATTCTCTCTGTGACTCCAAACACGATTTCTTTCTCCTCCTTAACTATGACTATTTCTTTCGTCAACCTCACAGCTAATCTGTATATTAAGTGATCCTGTTTCAAAAATTCGTCGTCATATAAGTTAAGGCTTGTTATCTCATCAAAAATTTGTGAATTAATCTTTCCTGAACTCTAACTTCCTCATCACACCATTCTTTCCTCTTATGTTTCAATTTGAGCACTCTTAAAAGACCAGTTTTAAGCACTTCAAACACTAATCTTTTGTTGTTTTCATTTCTCGAATAGCTATCTTCACTGTTTGCTTCCGGAATAACTTCACCATTATTTTCTTTCCCAATCGTAAGTTATTCACATCACTTTCCCTCATCACGTCCGTTAAATTTCCCTTATCACATCGTTTTATGATTGCCACTTTCGGTTCTTTTTCACTTTGAAGTGGAATACTTTTCTCTTTTTTACGCTTCAGTACTTCCAAAACACTTGTCACTTCACCATTTATAGAGCATGAGCATGAGCATGATTGACCGCCCACGGTTGCTACTCTGTTATTGCCAGACCAGCTGTAATTACACAGAGAACCAATATACGATGCTTGGGACTAGCAATCATCCTCAATGTGTAAAAACTGGTGATTTCAAACTAGGCAATACCAGCGCCAGCCGCGCCCGAACACAGGTCAAGAAAGGAAGGGGCAGGAATGTGTTGACGTGACACTCGCTTTGATGGAAGCCGAGAACACCTCTGTACTTCCACGAGGAATCACTGGGATATTGGGTAATAGGGTTGGGTTTGCAGCAGGGTTCGTTTTGGTAAACGATAAGCTGAATTGATGTCCTAACAATCATATAACGCGAAGGAGCTTGGGATTGAACCCACGGTCTTCTGCTCAGTAAGCAAAAACGTTTGCCACTAGGTAGACGAGCTCCTTTTTTTTTATCATCGAGTTGCTGTTATTACCATGTACTCATGTTAACAAATAAAACGATTGACGAATCTTGAATGTGGATGGGCTTGAGATTAGACTCATGATGTTCTGCTCAGTAAGCAAAACCGGTTGCTCTAAGGCCATCGAGCCCCTCATATCACATTATAGCGTTACTCAAGTTTTTTTATGACTATTCAGACCCGGCACCGACGACAACGAAAAGTTTTACAAAATACACGATAAACAAGCGATCTAACCATACATTTTTAATATGAAAGGATCTGGGACCGCGTTTTTCTGCTCAGTAAGCAAGCCACTGCAAGCGACGATCTTTGAAATCCTTAAACTAAAAGTTATGAAAGAGGCCTTCATTAAGATCCATTTTCACGCGACGTTAAATGTTTCGATTTTCTCTTACGCATGGTTCAGGTAATCATAACAAGCTATGACCGACGTGACGATTGTTTAAGACCTGGTTAAACAAGCTATTCAAATGAAATTACGTTCTCGAATTTCACTTGACATTAACGAACAACAGAAATACGCGATAATTCATATTTTCAGCGGTTGATGGTTAATTTTAAATATACTAACGGTACTGCCTAAGACTACGACGGCGATTACGACAGCGACTACGACGGCGATTACGACAGCGACTACGACAGCGACTACGACAGCGCCTACGACAACGACAACAGCGAATTTGTAACTTACCATTTGTCTAAGATTAACACCTTTGCCCGGCACCTCCACTTGTTATTCATGTCCGCTATCTGTCACTGTTTGAAAAATATCTAATAGCAATTACCTTTGTTGTAATACTTCCTGTATTGCCATGGTCATCTGGGAGGAGGGTCGCATCTAGTGCTTTCCCCAGGAACCTTTCACGGCCACCATCTACTGCCCGTCCAGTCTTGGGCGTATCCAGCGAGGCATCCTTCAGATTACTTACAATCTCCGACACTTAATGCAAATCGCAGGCACACTTACGCTAGTTACAAAAAAAAAAAACACCCGTGCAAAGAAACGGATCAAATAAACGTCACTCTCGCGAAAGCACACCCGTCGTCGTCGAACGGCAAAAAAAGGAATCGGTGGGCAATTTTGTTACACGGATTTCCAAAATCAACCGGGAATGCACGAATTTCACCACACCCAACTACGAAACACGTTCAGAAGCACTTTTGGTACACTTTCGTTCGAAAACACTTTATTTTTTTTTTCAAAAATAGTTGCGAGTGAACCAACATCATCACCTCGTAAATAAACTGAAATTAAATTAATCGCTTGCGATGCCACAAATTTCTGGACCGGGAGAAAAAATCAAACAACGCAGATAGCGTCAAATCTTCTGTTGCTTGCCCTTGTCACTTCACCATTTATAGATCCCCAAAACTGCAATTTCCCAAACGTTGAGTTTCTGCTATCCCTACTATAGAATTTGTTTCCTCCCCCCTCAAAAAACATTTCAACTTCACATTCGAGAATCAAAGCTAAAGCCCATGAAATTGCAGGACCAAATTCTGCCGTGCCTTTCTCTACCTCCTTGAAATATTCTTTTAGATGATCCTTGTATTCAGATTCGGGGAATCTGGTTCCGACTGACTTCCTTGCGCTTTTCCACTGTAATATTCTTATTCCACCACAGCTCTTTTTTATCACAGCACTTTACCTTCAGCTTGTGCTAATCACTGTGCTAATTGATTACACTTTTACTCCACCGTACAATTTTCACTGCACAATTTTCTCCACAAAGCACCTTTTTCACTGTTGTATTCCATCTCAGTACTTTTTTTTTCACAGCACTTTTTCTTCTAACACTGCACTGCACTTGACAGCCGATCGCGTAGTTATGGAAGTGGCTATGTTATGACTAATACCAAAACCCATCTTGCGCCACATCAAATTACATCAGAATTCAAAAACAACATCAATGACAACCACAGGGTGCCGTCCATTCATTTTGGCTAAAAAAATGTTTTATGAAACAATAAGATATAATGATGATATTTTGTATGTGTAATGCCGCGGATACACTTGTATGACAAACTTTGAACATGAGCATTATTTGCTTTGACGTGAGAGGTATGGATTCTAACCCCTACGCCGTGCGACCCCCTATGAAAAGATCGTAAAGTTAGTGTTTGATACATAAAACCTGCAAATTTAGCTTTGACAGAGTCACAATGAGGGATTTTCTGAGCGCCTCTTCGTGTACGTAGAGTGAAAAGCGAAGACTGGATGGAACTCACAGTCTCTTTATTCTGGGTGTTTAATATGTCACTTGAATCCGGTATATTCCCGAAAGAATGAAAAAAAACCCTACTTAATTCCCCTATATAAATCTGGTAAAAAATCCGATAAATATTCGAAATTATCGCATCCGCATTGGCCTGTTAGTTACACTTTACATTGCTGTATCACTTAATATAGGCTGTAATGTGCACCTAGGAAACGACCCCAATGTAGTGGTTAACATTCATACCTCTCACGCCAAAGTCACGTATTAAAATTTCATCCCCGGACAAGTCACGAATGACCCAAGAGTGTTAAAGTGAATATAATATCAGGTCATGTTTGGACAGTAACGATAACGCAGACATTTTGCAAATTCCCAGACATTTAAAATTTGTATCACAGACTTTAAAAAATATCATCTGGCATCTCTGGTACCTTACATGTTACAACCGCGTCACCCTACACTTTCGGCTATCAGAAAGGGCCATGTAAACTAAGAATTTTATGCCTTCATTAGCAAGCCTCACTCTTTTAATTATTCATCAACAACAACAACAACAACAAAAAATTCACCTCAAAATGCTAATAATTGCACGTTAGCACATCAAAACAATAAACAGCACTATCGCGGGCGGCTGGGTGGCAATTTTATTTCAGTTCCCGCACTCCGTTTCAAAAAAACAAGCCGCTAGATATATGCATGCGACTAAAATAAAAGTCCCACTGAACTACTTTTCTGTTTACTCTAAAAACTCCGTCCAACCCGTCTCGGTCGTCGCCACCAAGCACACAAGGGGGTGGTTACAGTTGATGGCAACATACGGCGTTTCTTCCGTGTGGATAACTCTAGAGGATCGCGACTTTTGGACTTTTTTTTTTATTTTCGACGGGCTGAAACCGGTGAGAATCAGGAAAAAGTGCTGCATACGGAGTCTCTCCGCGCCCTAACAAACCGGCGCTACAGGGTAGATGCGAATTGTTTCGCAATAGTGAAACAACATCGCACCATCCTACCTGGTCATACTGGCTGAAGAGACTCTCTTTTGTTTGGCACTTGAACTCTGGCAGATGGCGTCGTAGATGTGGCGCAGGATTGGTCGGTGAGTTTTGCGATCGTAAAGATAGTCTTTACGATCAATAAAGTTGGGCTTGGTGGAGGAAAAATAGTTGAAAGAAATGGTGCGATTGAATTGGATACAACTGCTTTGCGAAATTGATGTTTTTGGAGTGGATTGATTCAATGCCGCTGGCATTTTGGACGGTATAGTGATTTAATAATTGCGCAATTTGGTTGAGAGACTTGAAAATCGTCACGATACGTTATGTTGTAATAAATAGTAATACTGTAAAGTTTATTGATGTCCTTAAAACAAAAACAACGCTGGAGAAGTAGTACTTCTGTCGAGCTTTCTATGTGATATCTCGTCCATTTCACGAATCTTCCCCTTATGCTGCGTTCGGTGACTTCGGATGGGTGAAAGTCTTAAAGAAAGAAAGCTTTTCAATAAACAGATGACAGTTTCAACGATCATAACACTTACGTTCTGTAACGGCTCTTCACGGGCGATCCGACTGGTTTCGCCACCGGAGGTCGGTCCGTATCGAGCGAAAGGCCAATCTTCGCTAGCGTGTTCCTCAGATGCGTATCGCCACGAACCTCCTGTGAATTGAAGGCGGGTGGAAGATCGATGATCAACCGGACGGCTTCCTCGGATTGTGACAGTGGTTGCTGGCGGGGAGCGATGGTAGTCATTGCTTTCGGGAGATGAGGCTTGTGCTTGATTGTTCTGACCGGTTTATGCGGTTCCCGTTTGACGTGGTAGTGGGCGGAGGGGTATTCTTCTTCATTGCTGCAGTCGAAGTCATCGCCCGGAATGTCGTAGGCTAGATGTTTATATGGGTCGTAGATGACTCTTTCTTCGTACTTGCTGCGTGGAGCAAAGTAAGCTTTTCTTGGGTAGTATTCTGCCTGGGAGAGTTTGTACCAGGGGAAGTCAGCAGGTCGAAAGTGAGGGGGATGGTAGTACGGTGGTGGGTAATATGGTGTAGAGATAACTGGGGGCTCACAAGTCGTAGCGGGGGTTGTAATCGGTTCACATGTTGTGGTAGTTGGCGAAGCCGTGGTAGTTGTGGTTGTAGTGGTGGTGGTGGTTGTCGGACATGGAGTGGTAGTGGTTGTGGTAGTTGTGCTCGTCGTTGTTGTACTCGTGGTAGAGGTAGTAGTGCTAGTTGTGGTCATACATTCTTCGGTAGTTGACGGACATGGATTTGTAGGAATCATTCCACAATTAGTCAAAAAATCTAAGCTGAACGAGCCAGAAGACTGTGCACATGGTATGTTACAATTTGGCAATGCAAATGAGAAATTTAACGATTGTGGAAGTGGACCGTATATTACCGATGACTGCTGTGAGCAGTTTTTCGAATTTTCATCAGAACCGTTACCAGCGGGTTTCAACACCAAATATCCAATGTGTGAGTTGTTGAATATGTTAACTACATACGGCGAAGCACAGGCATCCTGACTTAATTTATGACTGGGGCAATATGATCTTTTGTACTTGGGCGATACTTCAGAAGCACTGTTTAACTCTGCCTCATTACTGTTAGTCCTTTCTTGGTATGCATTTTGAAGCATCCGATTCATAATTGCCTTATCCGGCTCATTGTTCACCTCCGGATCCAACGCTCCAAAGCTAAGCTCTTCCACCAAGTGATTCATGTCGTGTTTCGAAATGTTCTGCCTCATATTATCAACTGCTCTTCGCAACAAAATCGGAAACCATTTCTGTGCAATTACCATAGGATCACTGGGATTCTGCACCTCATCTTCCACAAATTCCAATTCTCGATCGTGGTTTTCACTCATTCTGACCTTCAAAGGAGGTGCCATCTGCACTACCTCTTCACTGGACTCCTCATCATGGTCTCCGCTAAGTTTGTTCAAAATCTTGGACCAACTTTTGCTCGTTACAGCCACTAAACTCTCCGTAACCGGTACCGGTTTGGGATTTACTCGTTTGACCATGTACACATTCTTCCCCGGCGGTGGATCCAGATATCTTTTCGAAACCACTGCCTTCCCATCATTGTCATGGCTCACGAAGATTTCTGCTTCATCCGAACTACTCGATGCACTACGATCTGCATCCGCGGTTTCACTTCTGTACAGCACACGGGCATCCACAAGTGCCATTACTAGGATCATCCGAAATGCCACTCCCAACATCTTTGCACCATCGAAATTTTGAACGTATTGCATAGGACCGAACCTAAGTAGCACTAACCTTTGCAAACGGGTTATATCGGGTTTAAATACAATCAGCTGCTTACGGGTCAAGTCACGTACCCGATGATAGGCCTGGAACGGGTTCAAAGAACCAATGCCCGGTTTAGTTATCGGTTCTGCGGTGAGACAGAGGTAGGTATTTGTTGAAGCTTTTCTGCTGAATCTAAAAATTTGATTGTTCAGCGTAGCACGTTCTTTGAATCGACGTGACGTACCCCGCTGCCTACCGGTATCGGATAGTGTTATGAAAATAAAGCACTACTTGCACGTGGCTCTGCTTAATGTTCGGTTGGCGACAGTGATAATTGGAGTTGCTTTTGTTATCCTAAGAGTTGTTAGAATTTTTGCATTCATTGATTGGACTTTGGTGTATGAAATCGGTAAATATTGTGGAATTGTTCAGGACTTGTGTGTGTGTGTGTGTGTGTGTGTGTGTGTGTGTGTGTGTGTGTGTGTGTGTGTGTGTGTGTGTGTGTGTGTGTGTGTGTGTGTGTGTGTGTGTGTGTGTGTGTGTGTGTGTGTGTGTGTGTGTGTGTGTGTGTATGTCTGTGTGTGTGTTTGCTGGCCAGCGTTGATGGGGTTCTCGAACTGCTGCGGGTGGGTTGGCTTCTCGGCGCTGCTTGTGGGGTAGATACAGCTAGGTGGGTTCGATGATTGACGAAACTCTTGAGGTGGTCGGGAAACTCTCACTTGGCTGCGCAATACGAGTGCATTTACAGTGCAGAGTACATTTACATAGGCTACGGTTCCACTCCGATGGATATCGTGTCGCCCCTAACCGATCGACGAATATCTCGATACCTTAAATTGGTATGGATGAGCCTGACATAAGAGGTAAAATACCAAAAAATAACACCAAACAAATGTTCTCACAATACCATTTCAATACCAAATTAGGATAATCCAATATCTAAGCAATACTACACAGGTATTGTTTGGTATCCAAATATCAGTTTTCGGTATTTACAAAGTATTTTGCGTGTAATTTTTTGGTATTATTCTTTGGTATTTTACCTCTTATGTCATGCTGGTCAATATCAAATTTTGGAATCAAGTATGAATTAGGTATTCATTTGTTATTTTCTCCTGCTCGGGTTGCTTTCACCTAGTAGGTAAAGGAACCAAAACGGTAGCATTATTGACAGAACTGCTAATTTAAGGCTTAACCAAATTAATCATATGAAAGAGTAGGCTGTGCGTGTGTTCGAACCTGACGTTGGTTTTTTCCGTGGATTTTTTTATGTATCTATAATCGGTTGCTGATCTGGCCATAACCAGGCCCAGGAGACAATTTCTAGTTCCTCATTCTAGGTCCCTATTATTTGCCGCTGAAAAGCTGTTCCGAAGCCAAGTAGAACCTCCACGAGGCGTCCCATCAATAGTTCCATCATTCGTTGAGTCGCAGCGTTGAACCTGACTATTGGCAACGAAAAGGCTTGCCAATGCACCTAAAAAATCGACTACATACATCCAAACATTTGTTTACCTCAAATCGAAGGAGGAAATTCCGCGCAACCACCATAAACTGGACTAGTTCATGTTGATCTTCTTCAAGCTTCGTCTACAATTTGGACTTCTACATCAACACATGTCAGGCAGCCTTTAGCTTCAATTGGCTAAATTTGGTGAGTTCGTTCCATTTTGTAAATTTTTATCTTTTCAAACCAGTAACGTTGGAACCTTTTTGTGGTGCGTTACTGGTATAAGATCTACCACCGAATCGTAGTCATGACAACTTCAAACTAGGGAATCAGGATTTTCCAGTATTAAAAGGATCACATTTTAGTCCTTGTTACTATTTATGACTTGATAATAGTGACAATACTCGGGTAGTGACCACATTTCTATATTGTATATTTCAAATGAAAAATATTGTTTATGTTCATAGATTTCACATAATCCGTTTCCCTTTGTCCTCGCCTTTTCCTTTCCCTCTTCTCTTTTCAGAAAACGAGTAATGGCGCTATAGCTATAAGTCATAAAAGGCTAGGACAACAGTTAGTGCTCATGCCCAACCGTCAGAAGAAAATGGAGCATCACTTATCGTTTCTAGCTTTGATGCTTCCAACGACCAACCAATCATATAATCACCAAAATCGGGACGTACTGTACGAGATGTTCACGTTTCATCCATTTATTGGATTCTGAAGCATCGTGTTTAAATCTTCGATTTGAACAGGCCTGATTTTTTCGAGAAACGAGAATCAATTATCTTATTCATGTGTTTCACTTATACATGTTTGCAAAACATCAGCTCTATACATTCCATAAGACAACCCACATGGGTCCTATAAGAATGTATGAAAGGTATGTGTGACCGCTTATACATTTCATTTGACACATGATCTTCATTAACTTTTTGCAAGGCGCCTGTTATACATTTTATGAATAATCAGCAATAGAAATGTGCCAAAAGGTATAAGGAGATTTCTATCCGTGTGGACATTCTGTTGACGAATATTGATGAAGATTCCTTCGTGATCAAATGAAACATTTCACACAACAATAATTCAATCATTGAATGTCATTTATTTGTACATGAATGCAAAAGACCCAACGACTGACTGTTCGTATGAGGAAGCAGTGCTGCAACATCTCGACAATACACGGTGATATTGACAATTCTGCTTTGGTCACTCATTTGAGCTAACAGTCATAGTCAAGGCAAACCATGTCAATTGTCAATGACAATGCTGTCAGTGACGAACATGTGTAGATTTTTTAATTAACTAAATTTGTAACGAAATTAAATGACTTGAGCCACATAATTACATGGCGCCGTTAATGAGAACAAGCATCTACGTCCTGAACTGCTAAGATAGCAATAATGTGACACAGAATGTACAAAATTACACTTTTTGTTTCCAGATGAATCTTTGTCATTGACGAAAAAATGAATAAGATTTTAACGAAGGTTTTTTTGAGGATCAAGTCTGTCTGTGACTATGTGACGAACAATTTTGTCAATATCGCGCGAAAGTCTGTCAATGACAAATAGACAAATCTCAGCACTGTGAGGAAGTCTTTGAATACCATTTTTTTTATATCTTTAGCCTTTCTTAGAATTTCAGCCCTGAGCTGGTTCGTTTCCGGTAAATACCAATTGACAACCTACGAAACTATCAAAAACTTGGTGCACTTACCCTTGTTGATTTAAAAAAAAATCATCATGTTTGATTTGGATGAAATTTTGTCTTAAGATAGGTAATTATGATTAAGTAACCGTCACTGTCCATACATCGCGAGATGGGCACTTTTAATGAAAAAAAGTGTTTCATGTCTGAACTGATTTTTGTTAACGTGCCATTTTCATACAATACTAAACCACTGAAGGTCATAAACATCTCAGAATCCAACGAAGCTCAATTTGCTAGTCAATTTTATCTAATCAGCAACTAAGTTCACTTTGATTGATCGAGAATTCAATATGAAAAGGGCTTATGACGCATTTCTCGTCAAACCGTATTCGGAATCGGCTGCACCCTCTCAGAATTAGAAAATAAATATTATTTCTTTATTCTATTATCTCCTAGTGAGGCACAATCTGATAATGTATGAGAGTAAAAAGACAAGATTTTTCATGTATAATTTACTTGTGTATTTTCAATCTAAATATTTGTGAAACCTATTTTCATAATGCTATATTTTCCTTTTTCCAATCAAGGTAAATATTTTTGGTTCACGGAAACGCCTCGTTTTCTGATGACAAAATTATGCATATTCGCACACGGAATTTTTAGTTTATTCAATAGATAATAAAAAAAAAGTGCAACTGATTGGAGGAATTTTCTTCTAAAATTTCCCAACCGTTGGAACGAGGGTACCCCGTGCTTGGCATAGATGGCCCACAGCTACTCACGAAGAGCTACTGAATCCGATCAGTAGCGGTGCGGCTTCTTCCTCATGCTTCGATGAATGGACGCTCATGTGGGCTGCAGCTTGCTGCTTGCGAGCAGCATTTCATTGTGTACTGGGGAACAATGTTCAACGCTGCTGATAACGACCGACCAGAAGATAACCACACACGGTGATCGAATAAGTATTGTTCGGCGAGACCGGATGGAATTCGAGTTTGAAATCTGCGTTCGAGAAAGCGCTTTTTCAGGCAATAGGTGATAATTTTTAACACTATTGCAACAGTTGGACATTTGTATAATTTTCAATAGTGACCTGTTGAAAATTAAAACGATTGCTGAATTTATGTATGTGCCCAAATTAGGGGCGTTTAGGCCGACATTACATCCATTTCCTTTATATCAGAAGTTTCCTTAATCAAGAAACAACAACAACAACTTATTCAAGTTTCTTTTCATCTTTTCGATGGGACATCTATAGATTAACCTCTGTTTGTTTGAATTGATTGAATAAAATTTTATTTTCAGCCTTTTGATATTCTCATTTTCGTTCAAGCTGTGGTTTGCATACAAAAAAAAAGGTTAATCGCGAGTATCTCCTTTGTTAAGGCCTTAATCGCGATTTAAGGGGTGTTCTAGGGTTAGAAATCTTTACTCGCGTTTATCTCCTTAATTAAGGCCTTAAATGTGATTTTTTCAACGAGTTGATGGTTGGAAGTTTTTGAGCGTAAAAGTATTTTTTATACAGAAATAACAACGCGAAAAGGTTAACTTTCTTTTAAAATTTATAAAAAAATTCAACCGATATACCAGCTAATTACAGATCATTCAGATGGTATCCTTCCCTGTTATTTGTTTAAATTTAAATCAATATTTGCCAAATAACATCTCAAAACAATAATTGAGGAGCTTGGCTGCTCGAAGGATGCCACTTTATGCTTAAGACGTGTTAATCCATATCAAATTCTTCTCAAGAGTACTTGTTGTCGTCGTCTGTGAGGTCGTTGTGATATAAGGAGCTCGGTGGCCTAGTGCCGTCCGATTTTACTTACTGAGCAGAAAATTATGGGTTCAATATCATGCTCC